TGGTTACAGGGCAGTGTTAAACACCAATGTTAGGGTTCAGCTTCCCTTAACAGCCAGCTGCCAAAAAAAAAATAAATAAGGTAGCATTTTTTCAGTCTTTGGGTTGCAACACACAAGGTTATGAAAACAATTTCATGGGTTACAACCAAGATTTTAAAAACGAAATATAATAGAAATTATCAGAGCATAGCAGAAACTTTTCTTTCTGTTATAAACCTGCATATATATACCCCAGATCATGTACTGTGAGTTGTAGTTTAAAGAGTATGAAAGCCACTGATGTTTGCTGACAGAGTTCACTGAAGATCACCTGTGAATACTGGGGCTTGAGTAGCTACCACTGCCTTCCACCGCAAGGACGTTAGATTCTTTTGGACTTGACACAGGGAAGAACAAAAGAAATTAAACTGTCCACAGGTGTTCTGTCTGCTAAATCAGTGCCAGTTTCTTTGAAGAAGTATATTTCTCATTTTGCCATGGGTGGGGAGGAATGAGGAATAGTCGTTACATACATAGTTTTTGTTGTAGATATAGAGCCCTCCTTTATATCTATAGTTCTCAAACTTTAGCCTGCATCAGAGTCACCAGCAGAGCTTGTTAAAACAGATGGCCTGACTCCATCGCCAATGTTTCTGATTCAATAGGTCTGATGTAGAACCTGAGAATTTACATTTCTAACAAGTTCCCAGGAGTTGCTGAATCTGCTGGCCGAAGGACAACACACTTTGAGAACTACTGCTTTATATTGTGATCTAATTAAAAATATAAAATCTAATAAACATATCATAGTATCCCTTGAGTTTTCTAAGGCTCATAACTCATTTATTGTTTGGGGGGATAAAGGGACCCACCAATATTTAATAACTCTTCTGTAGAACAGAATAGACACATATTTGTATGAGCTATTCTGAATGCTTTGGGTCCAGTTTAAAAGTTCTACTACTTGGGCCGACCCCGTGGCTCACTCAGGAGAGTGCAGCACTGGGAGCGCAGCGGTGCTCCCACCGTGGGTTCGGATCCTATATAGGGATGGCCGGTGCGCTCACTGGCTGAGCACAGTGCGGACGACGCCAAGCCAAGGGTTGCGATTCCCTTACCGGTCACAAAAAAAAAAAAGTTCTACTACTTAAACTTTTCTGAAACCCCAAAACACAGATAATCAACCCAGAAATTTAGCCATGCATAAGCTTAACAGCCAGTGTGACAGTTAAGGGTCCCTGAACTGATTGATTTAAGATATAATAATTTTTTTGCTATCTTCAGTATTTTCGTGTGTTTTACTGACACTCTAGATAGCATGATATGTTATGCATCTGGAAAAATAGCAAATTTATAGATAAGAAATATTGTCCTTGGAGAGAAGTTCTGTTAGAAATAACTTGCATGAAAACCTACATCATTCTCATCATTACACATTTCGAAGGTCTTAATGACTATCTTTCTCTTCATTGAGTTCTGTGCCTCTGGGCGATGTTACATGCCAATGGGGAAATGCTTATTTTTCATAAATATAGACTTCTTGTGAGTGAAATAGAACATAGACCCTTTTAGGAAAAAATTGCATATTACCATCTCTATTTGAATATTGAAGATTTTCTTTAACGTTGTGTATTTTTCATAAATATAGACTTCTTGTGAGTGAAATAGAACATAGACCCTTTTAGGAAAAAAATTGCATATTACCATCTCTATTTGAATATTGAAGATTTTCTTTAACGTTGTGATGTTAACCAGCAGACGAGAAAATTAATTTGACTAGTGTCTCACGGTAATATCTGTTTTAGACAAAAAGAAAAAAGTAGTTGTTTAATATATGTGGTAATCAGGTAGAGACAAGTTAATTCTTTGGATGCATTTACATTTTTTTTCATTTGTATATTTAAAATTACTGAAGGCATAAAACTAGATTAATAAAAGGTTTCTCATTTCTCTTGGGTTGAAAATATTGTGCTGATTGCTGATTTTAAAATGTCTTTTTTAGAAAAATAAGAATTACATCTAGATAGTGCAGTCATTTACACTAAGTGAAAATAAAGGTTGGCTTGTATTAATGTTTCATACCTCTTAAAGGGCATTGCAACATTTCTGCCCTCTAAAGAAAGGAGTGTATTTCTCCTTCACAAAATTAGTCCAGACAATATCCAGTCCTTCAACATATTTATTATAAATATAGAACAAAAATGTTGAAATTATGAAAGTTCTTTCATCTATTTCCAGCAGCCCATCAGCCTGTTTATGTAATTTGGGTCTATCCAATCAATCTCTGAGTCAGCAATATTTTTCCCTTAAATTTTTTTATAAACAACTCAATAACCCGTTTCACCACGGTTGATCTGATTGGCCATGCAATCAATACAAATTTAGTCGTTAAGGTCACAAAACTTCATAACAAGATTACATATTGCAGTATATGCTGCCATCCAATGTTTAACCAGGAACTTTTGATTTTTAAAAAAATCAGTTAGATATAAGTAAGCTTAAAACAAAAAAAATGAAACATTTGTAGGGATTTCTTCCCATTCGTTCAGGTTTCTCCACAGTAACCATTTCATTTTTCATTTCAGCATGATATTGATCTCAAGCCACAAAAACTTAAGTCATAATCAAAATTCTCATAATTTTCTTTCTTAAAGAAAGGAAGAAAATATGGAGATATATTTGCTGCCCTGAAATCAATAGCCCCATAAGGAAGACAAAAACATGCCTCAGTATTTGCCAACGTGCCAGATTTAACAAGGTTAGGCTATTCTCATCTGGTTTCTCATCACGGCTCCAGGTGGGATCAAATTTACTTATAATATCGATTGGCTCCCATGCTGCATCTTCTTTAAATGTCTAGGAAAAAACTATTTTTCTTTTTCTCATAGATTTAATCATTATCAGGGACATAGAAAAATCCATTTTTGTGCACCTCCTAGCCCTTTACAACATTGACTGTGTTCTATGGGTGACATTTCCATTCTCTTGGCTGGTTTGGAAATTTCCTCAGAATATGTAAAGAAGATTTGCTCAAATGCCTAATTAAGATTGAATGACTTGTTGTTGATAGTCTGGCCAACTTTTAAACAGCATCATTAAAACTGTGTTAGTGATCGGCTGAGAAAAAGAGTCATTGACAATTTGAAGGAGTGGACTTTGCTGCAGAAATGCTTACGGTTCATAGTCAAGTCGCAAATAACAGGATGATTTCTTTTTCTAGCTCAGGAAGCTGGCCAGTTTGCACTGACATGTTATGAATCAAAGAATCTGGAGTATGTGGAAATTCTACAGGGTGGATCCAAAATATGTCCCATCTGTCAAAATCGCTTCTTAGCAGAAGTGGTGGCCTTTAACCTCTCAAATCCTACTCAAGTCTTAAGGGAAATTAGTCTAATGGTCTTTACTGATAGTATTCTCTACTGAACCATGTTCCACTTTACAAATAGAATACACAAAGTGATCAGCCATTTCTTCTTAATTTAGCCCAAAAGGTGAATTCCCTCTCACCTCCAAAGAAAATGGTGCCTTAATGGTTGAGCATGGCATCCTATCCAGAAGAGTGAGAAATAATTTGCTTCTGAAGTGTGAACAAAAATAACATCAGGGTATGTTAAGTGGAAAAGTCAATTGCAACAACACATATACAGTATGACCTCAATTTGTGTGTGTCTATATATAAATAAAAGAATGGCTAGCAGTGGTCATCTCTGGATGATGGAAATTTGCACAACTTTAATTTTTGTCTTTGTGCTTTTCAATACTTTCCAAATTTTTCACAATCAGTATATGTTAAAATCAGAAAAACAATAATTGTCTTTATTAAAGATTTATTATCAGAGTAAATCCTTTTGTATCAAGGAATTTTGTCATTCTCAAAGAAAATTCCAACAATTCATTACAGTAAATTCCTTATGGAGAAGAGTGAGTAGTGTGTATCCTTTTTTTCCCTGTAGGTTCTCCCCAGGATATAGCAGCCGTGAGAAGCCAAGCAGCACTCCAGAGCATGCGAACATCACGGCTCATGGCACAGAACGCAGGCATGATGGGAATGGGACCCTCCCAGAACCCAGGGACAATGGCCACAGCAGCAGCCCAGACGGAGATGGGACTGGCCCCTTATAGCACCACGCCTACCAGCCAACCAGGAATGTACAGTATGAGCACAGGAATGACCCAAATGTTGCAGCACCCAAACCAAAGTGGCATGAACATCACACACAGCCAAGCCCAGGGACCCCGGCAGCCTGCCTCTGGGCAAGGGGTTGGAATGGTGAGTGGTTTTAGTCAGAGCATGCTGGTGAACTCGGCCATCCCCCAGCAGCACCAGCAGATGAAAGGGCCAGTAGGCCAGGCCTTGCCCAGGCCCCAAGCCCCTCCAAGGCTTCAGAGCATTATGGGGACAGTCCAGCAAGGAGCACAAAGCTGGCAACAGAGGAGCTTGCAGGGGATGCCTGGGAGGACTAGTGGAGAGTTAGGACCATACAACAACGGCGCCAGCTACCCACTTCAAACTGGCCAGCCGAGACTGACCAAGCAACACTTCCCACAGGGACTGAGCCAGTCGGTCGTGGACGCTAACACTGGTGCAGTGAGAACCCTCAACCCAGCTGCCATGGGTCGGCAGATGATGCCACCGCTCCCGGGACAGCAGGGCGCCAGCCAGGCAAGGTCAATGGTCATGTCTGGCCTGAGCCAGGGTGTTCCTGGCATGCCAGCCTTCAGCCAGCCCCCAGCACAGCAGCAGATACCCAGTGGCAGCTTTGCTCCAAGCAGCCAGAGCCAAGCCTATGAACGGAATGCCCCTCAGGACTTGTCATACAATTACAGTGGCGAAGGTGCTGGGGCTTCCTTCCCTGGCCTCCAGGACAGTGCAGACCTTGTAGACTCCATCATCAAAGGCGGGCCAGGGGATGAGTGGATGCAGGAGCTGGATGAATTATTTGGTAATCCCTAGTCAAAAAGAGCCCCAAGAGCCACAGTTGTAGTGGGTAAAGCTTACAAAGTGAAAAAGAAACAGGATGTTGGCCCATCCTTGTTTTTTTTTGGTTTTTTGACCCATGTAAACTGAGCAAAACTGAAGCTGGCTGACAGTGGAAGATCCAGGTGCCAATCCACAGACCCGCAGGACCTCATTTCACCTGATTTTCACGCAGCATTTGAGATGAGATACCATCCAGATTCCTGCTGCAGGAGAGGGAGACACGTGGAGGGGCAGGTGGGGAAGATGGAGCCAGCCAAAGCCCCTCTACTCAGTGCTCCCTGTGATTGGCTGGCCCAGCATGAGCTGCTCCAGCTGAGAGGGACTGTTGCCCAAGGTCAGGTATCTGACAGGCCCTCCTGCCCCAGGTCCGGAGACTGCAGCTTTGGAGACACACAAGAGACAGAGCCTCGGCCGAGGAGAGTCCCGCTGAGTGCTAGGTGGTTGCACAGAGGTCAGAAGTGAACTGAACTCCGGGTAGAAAGAGATGTGAGGCTTCATATGCTACTGTGTTTGGAGGGGAGGCACAAGGAACAGCAAGCTGGGTCCTACAGGCCTGTCTCCCACCCGTGACATTCAGTGGCGTGGCTGGTGGCCGCCTCACAAGGAGAACCAACAGAGCTGGGAGAAGGGTCTGCTGGTGGCCGTAACTCCGAGTTGGGCTGGAGCCTCCTGGGGGCCCAATACATGCTGGTAGTTGTCATCTACCCTGTGGCCTCAGGGTGGAGAGACCTCTGTTGGATGCTACACGTCTGCCAGCCCTGGGTCTTCTCCCCACCCCGCCTTTATTCCTGTATTCCTCAGTCTGCCCTGGCTTCTCTGCACAGACTATCCAAGAAGTAAAGCGTCTGTCTTTGGGGAGCCTTGGCAGAGTCAAAACAAATGCAAGGAGAACTTAGACAATGTCTGAAATGTAGAGGCGACACTGGAGTATTCTTCCATAACATGTGGAGTGGAGTGAATATGTCTGCCCAGAACTGAGCGGGCTGCTCTGATGTCTGGGCATGGGTTTATGTGAGCCACATCTGATACTTCTGATATCCCTGGGGAGGAATGGCCTGGAGGTCGTCTCTTCTGGCTCCCTTTGGGAAAATCCCAGGGGTGATGCTCTAAAATCAGCTTTGCCCATCATACCTACTCATTGGAAAGACAAATGTAAAGCCCCAAGAGATGGAGGAGCTAAGAAATCTATTGTTCCACTTCACAAATTTGGATGATAAAAGCAGGAAGATATAGTTCCTTTCATACGGTCAAAGAAATCCACTTAAAAAGTTCTGTACAGTTGTTCTCTGTGTAATTCACTCACATCTGCCCTAAGTGAAACCTGTCAGAAGGCTCAGCAGCCCCCACTGTGTAAGGCTAGTCTCTTTAGTCCTTGCCTCCCCTCCCGCTGTCCCATTTTGGAGGCCATGTGGCATAAGTATTGTCTTAAGTAAGAGTGGCACGTACTTTTCTCCTGTCCTCTCCTTCCTCCAGGTCCTGAATGCTGGCTCCCTTCTGTGCACTCCCATGCAGCTCGCTGTGGAGGAAGGAGCCCAAGCGTGGGAGGGCAAAGTCCCAAGAAGGCGAGTGCAAATGCACAGCTGGGGGCAGGGGCTGTGGAGAGGAGGCAGGCAGGCACGCACTGCCTTGACTTGCTGTCCTTATACCCAGGGTTCTGGTCACTCAGCAAGGGGCAGGAGGTGAGGCTGGAGGGGCCAGGCCGGTGAGGGCCTAGGCAGGGGCTGTGTGCTGGTGAGAGGTGGTGGCAAGGTGACCGTGAACTCCCTGAATGGGGAGGGATGCCCCCAGGGAAATTCTGAGTAGAAACAGATGAAAACCAAAAAGAAATTGTAAACAAGTGAGAAGACACAGAATACATAACTACCTTTTTCTGAAAGGTACAGGAGATAAATATGTAAGCAATGATGAGAAACTGGAGGTGGCCGGTGGAGAGAGGGGGCTCCATTACCTTTTAAAAGCTTCCTCCAAATGCTTAGTACTGGGACCAACTAATAGAGAGGTCAATTTTAATAAGATTGTTTTGTTTCGTTTTTGTTTTTACTACGGTGCTGATGTATATGTAATGTCTAAAAAAAGTTATTTGTACATAAGTTTTTACAATACTGCAGATATCACTGGGTCTACTATCTGTAAAAAATATACATATAAATATATATATACTGTTTGTTTAAAATAGAGTATTTTTATTTCATTCGTTAATTCATCATCACAGCAGCGTATTGCACTTCAGATGACATCTAATTACTAATTTGTACTGTATGACCTATGGCAACTTGCTCCATTCTATTCAGATTTTTCTAGTTTTCTGTTTTTACTTTGTACATTGAGCATTGCTTATTTCCTTTTAAGAAATGTACAGAACTCTGAAATGTAGAAATGAAGTGATGTTGACTATACCACTTTTAAAGAAAAACAAAAACAAAAATAAAAGATCGTTATCTGAATCAATTCAAAGTATAGTTTATCTTAGGATCCTCGCTGAATCTCCAACCTTAATTAAGCATTATTCCTGGGTTTCATTGATTAACTTCAGTTTTCTCAAAATTTTGTTATCATTCTTTAGACATTTATTTAATAGTAGAAATCAATCATTCCCAGCCTTTTAATTCAACCACACGACTGAAACTTTCTAAATGTGCCACAACATTCTGAGGGATGTGGCCAAGGGAAGGGAGGAAAGTCTATTTTGCAAGGAAGATACTGAAGTCCGTTTGTGATTCCATATCATAACAATTCAATATCCAACTGGCTTACTCAGAGGACTTGGAAAATTGATAGTAAAAATTTTATGCAAAAAAAGGAAGAAAAATCACGGAGTACATTGGGGGGAAGTAATCAAGGGGTCACCCACTGTAATGGACTCTCAGTAAACACCCCCACCCCCATGTGCGCCTTACTTCTGTCAGCCCATGCTGTGTTTCTCAAAGCCACGGCCTGGCCAATGACTCACTGGTACCGGAGTGTGAAAGCCCAGTTAACTTGTCTGGACAAACTCTGAGATATCATTTATGTTCCAGAGCTCCCCTGCAGGATGAGGCAGAGGCTGGGACTTTGCTTGTCCTCTTCCCCTTCTCTGTCCTGTTCCCCCACTCCGTTTCCTTTTCTCCACCTGATAGCCCTTTGTTAATAAATCACATACACATGCATTCCCCTCTCCACTTTTCAGAGACCTGTCCTAAGACTCTTCATCACACTTTAAAAACCATAGTAAAACAACATGTTGCAAAACTGGGTTAACCAGAAAAATAGCCCACAGAATACTCATCATCAAAAATAGGTCCAAAACAAAAATGAGTTTTAATATACACAAACCAAAGGAAAGAATGAATTTGGTTGTGGAAGAAGAGGCCAGCCCTGCCCATGGTGGGTTGTGGTTCCAGACTGGCAGGCAAATAACACCATGGAGAAAATAATGGGACACTGGGCTTTGTCCCTATGATATGGGCTTAGTGTTTTACCAGATAGCATGGGCCAGAAAATTGAAGTGATTCAGGGGTGGAGGGAGGGACCAGGGGGAAACTGACACTAGAAGTAAAAACATGAAGCTCTGAGAAGAGTTAATTACTACTCCTACTCTCAATCAATTAAAACCACATATTTGTTATACCAAAATTTGTTTGGCACTGGATGAATGGAATACCTTTCTCCTTTAAAACAATTTTGTATACATAATGTTATTGACCTTTATAAAATCCTAGTGCAGTAAATGTGATGGGGAAGGAGTAGAAAATAAACCTCCGTCTAGGAAGGCACTAGTCACTGCCTCAATGAGAAAGATGTGTGTTAGTGATAGATTAAGGAACATTCCAAAGCAGTAGATGTTCTTTCTTCTTTTGACCATTCTTTTCAAGGAAAACTGAAGAAAAAGGGGTGAAAAACAAATGACCTGATGTTTCTGCTTATTAATGACTTTTTTGGCCACACCTACCTCCAATCCCAGAAAGAAAAGTGGGAGAGGAAAAAATACCTGGGAAGGGAATAGGGCTACCTCTGTGTAACCGAGACTTTATCTTATTCCCATTTTGATTTTTTTCCTCTTTTCAGTTTTCTCCTCTATTCTCTTTTCTAAGTTCTAAGGACATTAGATTTCTACACTAGTGTCCTCTGGACAAGGGCCACAAATACCTGCCTCATTTCATGCAACAGGCCAATTACCACAGCTTCCACACACTCAGCTCACAAGTGTCCCCGCTCGTGTCCAGGACAGCTGCCAGGCCAGCACTAATGGCTGTCAATACCACTGGATCCCAAATCAAACCTACAGCACACAACACAAAAAGTCTTCAGAGCCCTAGAGCCTTATCTTAGGTTTTAACTTCTCCTCAAGTTTTCAAACTTTTTGTTATGAACATTGTCAAACAATCAGGCAGTAGGAAGAATAGTATAATGAATACCTATACTCTTATCAACTAGATTTAATCATTATTAACCCTGCACTGTAAGTGCTTCACATATATATTTTGCAGAACCATTTCAAAGTAAGTTATACTCATCCGACCCCTTCACCCCTCAATGCCCCAGACTGCAGCACCGAAGAATTAGGACATTCTCTTCCTGGCCACAATGTCATTATTGCGCCTAACACAATTAACATTAATTCCCTATTGTCATCTAACTCTCATCCCATCTTCAGATTTGTCTCACAAATGTCTTCCATAGCTGTTATTTTCTAACCAGGATTTGATCAAGGATTTTACATTGCCATTTGGTTTTTTGTTTTTTTTTTCCTTTTTGTCTTTTTTCGTGACCGGCAACTGATCGCAACCCTCAGTGTCGCGCCCGTACCGGACCGGGACCGGCAACGGGATTGCAACCCTCGGTGTTGCGCCCGCACCTTGCTCAGCCAGTGAGCGGGAACTGGTCTGTATGTGGGATCCGAACCCTCGGCGGGAGTGCCACCGTGCTCCCAAGTGGCGCACTGTAGCAGTGCGCCACCAGGCCGGCCCCGCCATTTGGTTTTTATGTCTCTTAATGTATAGAAGTTCTTCTCCATCCCTGTTTTCATGTCGTTGAGTTTTTGAGCCAATGAATCTGATTTCTAAAAATAAAATTAGTCAATTTACTAATATACAAAAAATGTATATATAACTGTCAAAGCGATCAGAAACTCACATTTCTCTGGCCAGCATGTTTTCTCCCTGTCCAAATCTAATTAGGAATTAAAATAATCAAGAGTTGCCTGGTGACAGTGGAATTAGAACAAAGGAAATAAATTCTATGGTTCAAATGTTTAAAGATACAAAGCTTATGATAGCCTGGTACACTCATTGCCTATTTCCACATGTTGTTTAATGAAACTCTGTGTGTGTGTGTGTGTGTGTGTGTGTGTGTGTGTGTGTGTGGTTTACATGGCCCAGCAAAATAGAAATTGCTTAAAAATCCTCAAATATAAGATTTGGAAAGTTTTGGTTTTGTTTTTGTTTTTTCACTTCGAAAAAAATATGATTGGGCTGGCCAGTTAGCTCAGTTGGTTAGAGCACAGCCTTATAACTCCAAGGTTACAGGTTCAGATCCCCATACCAGACAGTTGCAAAAAAAATTAAAAACATGATTATGCAGTAATTATGTTTTAGGGTCAAAAGTTTGCATTCTCTCTTCTTTCATTGTCTTCGATGTATAAAATAATTAAAATGTCGTGATACAAGTCACCATTAAAACTGAGCAGAATACTAAGTAAAAAGACCATTGAATCATAGCATTTTAGAGTATCAGCCCCATTTTACCTAAGAGAAAACTGAGGCAGAGAGCTACAAAGTGCTGGGGTAGCACAGCTAGTAGGTGATAGTGCAGGGTGAGGTAATCTGGCTATGGAGTCTTCACTTCTTTGCTGCATGACCTCTTATTGATGTGCCACATACAAAGTCAAACAGCCTGGACTAGCATCCAGATGTCCCCATTCTTAGGCCAGTGGGTTCTCAGTGTACTTTGGGATATTTAATACTGTGTATTTAGGATGCAGGAGGTTATCACGTCTTCTCCCTTCCTATTCTGTTAACACTAGCGTTCAAATGCCTTTATTTCTTTTTCTATTATCCATAGCCTTTGTAACTTCTTTTTTACCCACAAAAAAGAAAAATCCCAATAAACAGATACTTGAAGATTCCCACGCCAGATTCAAGGCTGCCCAGTTTTCTTTGGAAAAATTGATAGAAGGCTCTTTTCCTGTTGTTACAATGTGTTATGTATAATAACACATAATTCCATTTTCCTAAGGCCTTAGAAGCCTGTGAATCCTTCCCTCTTCTCAGATGAAGAAAATGAAGAAAAGTCACAATATTGTGCCACGCAATGATTGCACCTCAGAGTCACAACAGCTGCCTGGGTTCCTCTGCACATCCCAAACCCCACGTGATATAGGATGTGGGGCAGAACCTGGCCCAGATTCTACAGCCATGAGCACGACCCTCCTTCCTTTGCCTCAGGGCAAGAATATTCACGTACCACTGGTCCCTGGGTGGTTCCTTGAAATGATAACACCTTTTTTTTCTTTTTCCTTTTTTCTTTATAAAGTACATTTTCACAGCCAGATTTGTTTTGTGCTATTAGTTGATGACGCTGTCCTCTGGCTACACTCTGTTTGCCTGACTTCCCCTGCGTGCAGCCACCTGTTGCTTTCCTACAACCAATGAAGTGGGCTCAGCTGCCTTATCAGCATCTGTCTGGAACTTTCCATCAAAAGAGAAGAAGTGTCAGAGACAGGCTATATTGGTGTTCCACAGAAAGCCCAGCACATGGGTTAAGCTGCTTTGTCCCCACACAAATGGTCATGACTTCAGTATGTACGTCTAAAACCAGGACTCAACACACTTCCACTGATGATATGGATAGACAATCCCCCCCCCACCCCAGCAAAGTTCAGCTCTTAAGCAAACAGGAAATGTATGCTCTAAAGTGTATGTTTCTACAAAGCCATTTCGAGAGAAACAAAATACTTTTTTTTTATTTGACAAATGACACCACATTACCTTCAGAGTGGAAAGAGCTTCTGCAGTCATGAAGTAAAGGGAAGAGAAAAAGTTAGAAGTGCCACCTCAGCAACTTGACAAGATTGAGGTCCAGGTATTCATCCAGAAAGCTGTTTGCAATCCCCAGGGTGCCTAGGACAATCAACAAGGCCAAAATCCCCACACTCCACTTCAAACCAATGATCCTGTAGGGTAGACATGAGGGAGAGAAGTGACAAGCCAGGCTATAGTAGGAAGCTGGGAGTCCTGTCATGGGCTGCTCATTGGTGACCCTGCCCAGAACTTCCATGTTTTTGCCATTTGGAAATTTTGGTTCATCACATAAATTGAAAAGGATGCTTAGCCATAGTCAGTTGGCTTCTCTGAACATTCAAGGGATCATCAAGGCTGGGCAGAATTATTTCCTTGGTAGCTTTCTGGAGACAATGCAAAACTTTTGCGTGGATTTAAAGATCCACATTCAGTGCACAGTTTTGCACCTGC